CGTCTAACCCAATCACAATTTTTTTTAGATTCTGTTTTATTATGGATTGTAGCGATTAATGTATTGATATGAATTTGTACTGATTATACTTTTTATATTGTATATTTATGATAATAATGATTAGTAAAGTTATAATCTAAACTATTTATATTGTAGATTATTACATATATTCATTTGATATAATTATTATATAGTTTTTTTTTAAATGTTTCAGTAATAATCTAATAAATAAATCTAATAAATCCAACCTGGTTCAGTTATGTTATGTATTTCTAAAAACATGCTTTAGACTGCATATCGACCAATTGTATTTGCCTTTGTTTGATTGGCAGTTTATTCAATGCTTTATCTCTCTCATAGACCTGATGGTGTTTACAGCAGTGATTCAGTCTGCCTTTGAAAGAGTCCTGGGAGATCCTAGGAAATTATTGATGACAGTGCAGTGTTGGGATTGATTGTTAAGTGGGCAAATTTGTCTTGCATGAATTCGCTCCATTAGCCAGCTCATTCACCATCTGGCCCAGGGCGGGTGCAGACTGCCAGGGGGTGTGTGAAGCCTGGCATAAGGGCTGGGTGTCCTCACCAGCTTCACCCACTCAGCCCTGAGGGCACCCCGTCTGACCTGTGGATTGGCCCGTTTTTACCTCCTCCTGAGAGGTCACAAGAGGGACACCCAAAATGTAGCACTCTGTTCAATAATGCAGGTCAGCCATCTGGTTCTGGTGATTTATTCTCTGTAAAGATGTCACAGTTCTGTTCTGCAGATGTAGCCATTTTGACTTCACACTTTCGCCTGGTGCCAGGCACCTGTGAAAATTCTGTGAGGGGGAAGCAATGCACAGATACTACCTGATGTTGCAGTGTGTGAATGTGCCTCGGACCTCCTGTATACAGGATATGAGAAAATACTATGTTTTACCTCTATGGCTTTGCTAGGCTGACAGACTATTTTCAATTTAATGAAGTTCCTTACACAATATGTTAAATCGAATCTTTATTCTGTCATATTTAACTCTGATTCAACCCTTTAGGTTTCACTGAAAGATCAGTGAGATTGGGTTAAATTAAGAGAGATTTCAAGGATCATAAAAAATAATAATAATTGTTGGAGGACAAAGTTGCCGGACACTGCTCTTTGGATCAGTTGCCTTTACAATATCTTCTGAGATGAGGTTCTCAGAACAGCATTGCAGTATTTCACATTTTCTATGTAAATGACGATTCTGGGGACTTAAAATGCCAGTCAGTGCTGTCATTTGTGACCTTAGTCTTAGCTAAGATGTATACAGTATCTCACAGTCTGACGCAAAAGAAATTCTTAAAATGCATATGTTCACTTGCTGAAACCATCATGTTTCCTCCAGTCTCAACTCAACAGAAATGGGGAGTGAAGATGCATGATAAACATAACAAGATGGATCTCAAACTTTTTGAACGTTTGTACAGTGATGAAGCCGATAAGTACAAGTGATGTTTTAGTGCTTAAATCATCAGTGTCTTAATGTTCAGAAAATCAAGTCCCTTGCCTGCACTCAAATTTGTATGGATGATATACTAACTCATAGGGAACTAGTGAAGCACAGCATACAAAAACAGGAATATAGCGCAAATGAAGACTTGTATAAATTGAAACAATCTTGTTCATAGTCTCACATCATACATGTTTGATTTGTGACCTTAATGTCACCCCACTCCAGTGCATCACACTCCACTGAAATTGACACTTACCTCACAGACCAAACACACACCTACTGACATCATCGTTCACTTACCCTTCACATTTCAGAGCATGCACACACATTACTGAATATGTGTTTTTATACAGGACTCATCTTGACATCTAACCTCCAAACACATACAGGACCCTCACGGTTCCCAGTGGTCATGGTCAAATGCCAGGGGACATTCAGCTCATTGTCACTCGCAGTGGTGTGTGTAATATGTGAATGTGCTACCCAGGGGGGTTATGGAGGATTGTGTTGTGATGTGGTGGTCAGCCCCTGCCGGGCATGAAGGGTCTGTGCTGTGGAAACAGAGATGGAGAAGATCGCGGGTTCAACATTCACATTTAGAGATTGTCCTCGAGATACACATTCTGAATATTCCTGTTTTATATCTCTCTTTTCTCTCTCTCTCTCTGACGCTCACTGATCTGACATCTCTGGGCAGCAGATGTCCACTATTAAATGCATAAAAGAGATCTTGAAGTATAATTGGATGTGTTTACAGGGTTTTGTCAATCGGACACTGGAGTTTTGGTGGTTAATTCTGCCTGGTTAAATGGCCTTAGTGCCGCCCGTGTGCCTAGTTGTTTGATTGTAATGTGTTTAGAGATGAGCAGACAGTCTGCCATAAATTGCATCAGTGATTTATAGAGAAGGCCGTGGGAGGGTCAGTATTCACTGTACTCAGGAGCCGGGGTAAGTGCGTCTGTGTTAGAGCGGAAACCTCTGAGCTGATGGCTCTGATCCAAAACCCTGGTGAGCTGTCTTGCTGTCTGCTGTCTTTATAGGCTGCTACTCTCAAACACTCTGTTCTAATCTATTTAACGTGACATTAGCTAAACTTCTGTGAAATTTCGCAGACAGGGTTGTAGTTGCAGGAAGTACCGCTTCTAAACCAAGCAGCTTTCAAACCTTTCAAATCAAGCAGCTTTATATTGGTTCAGTTCAACAAAATTGAATCCAATGTGAAGTCCACGGGACTTCCCTTATGCGAAATTATCAACCTGATCTCACAAGAAAACATAACGGCGTATTAATTTGTACAAGGTGAATCATACAAAAACACATGATTATCAGAAAAAAAGTAAGCATGAAGGCCCCCCCTCAACATTATGGCTCCCTGGCCATAAGCAGATTGCATGAAAATATACAAATTGCATTGTTTAAATTCATGTGAATTAGACACCAATTTGCCAAAATGTTAAATAGCTACTAATGGCAATGAGAATAGTGTTGAAAACTACTGCTTTCTATTGAGATTTTGCTCACAGAATTTTGCGTAAAAAGGTTCTAAATGGTCATACTAGACTGGTTTTTATTTTTTTTCTTCTACAATATTGTAATAAAGTATAACTGTGAAATCTCATTAGTCACATAACTGTACATTACAAATATTGTTCAATGGACTGTGTTCTCAAATAAATCTTTCTTGTTTTAAAAAGGTCTGCCTTTGTTCCCCCTTGACATGCCCTTGGTGGGGCAAAACAATCGCTTGAACTTTCTGCTCAGATCTTATTTCTGGTTCATTTTCATCCTCACTCCCTTCAGTTGAGCTCTTGCATTCGCTATTGTAAGATTATCTACGTTTCTCAGTCCCCGCAAGCAGAGGCATCCGATACACAATATGTGCTCTAGATTCAGCTGGAAGCCATTTCACTTCCATGGCTGAAGATTTGTAAGTGTGTTAGTCACACTTGGGTTGTAGATCTGCGCTTCTTCCCAAGACTATTCACGATGCGAGGCCGCTCGGGGGTGATTGTGTTTTCCAGTAATGTGTCAGATAATCCTAATACTGGAGTTATGTTGAGGATGTGTGCCAGGGCCAGGACACTGGTGCGCAGATCTGTCCAGAACAGACTCGACTCGGCCAGCATGCTTCAGATGGCTGATGTAGGCCGCCACTCCTAATGAGTTACGACAAAGGAAGCCCCGTTCTCAGCGTGTACTTTCTCTCTCGCTCGCTCTTTTTCTCCTCCTCCTCTCTTCCTTAAGCAGATTAATTAGCAGCACTTTCCCTTATCGGCCAAGAAAGTGCTCTCACAAAGTCCTCGGGGAGATCTCACCAGGGAGGCACAGTCACTGCCCAGCTTTGCTGCACTTTACTGTGTGTTTATATGCCTGTGTGAATTTATTTGTGTGGGTTGTTCTGTATATTTAGACAATATTGAGACTCTATGTGAAGCTGCATTTGCATAAGCAGTACTTTCAGTACTATTGCAAGTATATCATGAATGAATACATTAGTGGAACAAAGTGAACAATGTACACCATTCATGTCTGTTTTGGTAAAGCTTTCCAAAATATTGGGATTATTTGGCTTCCATTTTCTGTGGAATTTGCTGTAAAATATTCTGAAGGCAACTTTCTATTTACAGTCAGTGCTGTTTTAAATAGTATTGTGCAAATTCTTGCCTACTTATAATACTGTTTTTATGCTCAGTCATTCTAACACATTCAGGGGAGTCTTTGGGCAGTCAAAGACACCTTACACATCAAGCCTTGATTTTTTTTTTTTGACATACTCTAACGTAAACCTTATGAGATACTCAACTCTATACTCTTGACATACTCTAACGTAAACATTATGAGATCAGATGGAGCTTTGAATGAGACAAGCTCTAAGCATTCACATTTTTAAAAAAAGCAGGTGAAGACATCAAGTTTTTGAGTATAGTACAGTACTCTATTTATTTTATACATAAATAGCTTGCCTATATATTCTTCTTCTGTCTTGTAGAAATGCACAGGCAAAACATTTAACTGCCGTTGGACAACTTTAGCTCTGAACCAGCTTATCATAATTATGACATAAATAGCAGTCTGTCTTCACGGTGCACACTGGACTAACATGAAGCCAGATCAAGGTCATTCTCATTTCAGAACGTTCCCTCTTTCTCTCTCCCTTCCCCCGTCAAACTAATTAATGTTTTATACTGGTCTCTTTAATATTAGCCCTAAATAGTGCTGGTGTTTGATGTTTAAATCCAGTCGCCAGGAAGTGTAAGCTAAGCATTTCATCAGCGCCACAGGGCTTCTTTGGCCCCAGTAGTGCAGGTCTCAGTGTGAATCTATTGCTTTAGAAATGCCTCTGTAATCTGCTGTGTGATGGGAGTGAAGGAGGGGGCAGGAAGTATGCTTCATATTTTCATATTTTTAGAAGGAAAATTAGGCTTGTTACGGGCTCTTGAGCTCTTCTATATAAGCTGCTGTGAAGAATGGTGAGGCCACTGAAAAATCATTAAATAATTATTTTACCTTTCTACCTTGTTTCTTTAGGCTCCGCCCTTTAATATCGTCCGCTCCCAAGAAAAAGAGGACACCAACCACACCGGTAGGTTAAATGAGGGCCTTTACTGTTAATGTTTATAATATGTTTGATTTTCCATTCAAAGATTATTTTTCATTTGATAGGCACTGTAAAAATTATTGTTAGTTTAACTTAAAGTTACCTGGTTGCCTTAAAATTTTGAGTTCATTGAAATGAAAAAATGTATATACAATTAAGGAGAATGGGTTAATAAATAGAAACTCAAAATATGTTATCTGAACCACACACTCTAAAAAATGCTGGGTTGTTTCAACCCAAATTTGGGTCCAATATGGACAAACCCAAATGTTGGGTTAAAAATCTCATTTAAAGTTTTAACCTAACCTCAACTTTCACTTTCAAATGCACATTTTTTTATTACATTTTTAACCCAACATTTGGGTGTGTCCATATTTGACCCAAATTTGGGTTGAAACATCCCAGCATTTTTTAGAGTGCATTAATTATTTAAGTTGTTTTGACAAAAGAAAAAAAAATCATGGAAATAATTGTTTACAGTGTAGTAGTCCCGCATTATGGTAAAAAAAAAATGTTCTTCAAATGGTCATAGACCTTACAATTGGCAAAAATACATTTAGTAAATGTAAGTGTTAGTATAGTTTTAAGATGAAACACATGTCAGCACAAACCATAGTTATTATTTTGCAACCCATTTGATTGGATATGAAAACTAAATATGGCAAGAAATTTCTCTTCTCTTTTTGAACTATGCGCCTCATTTCTAACCCAAGGCTCTAATATGATTACTGAATGGCATCTCAGTGCAGAACTGTTTGCGGCCTGTTTTCTTGTTGACCCAGTGAGCAATATTTCAGCTTGATAGAGGTCAAATCAAATTTGCTTGACTAACCCTACTTGACTTCAGTGGTAAATCCATCATGATAACCAAATCCATCACAGCTAAATGTCACTGCAGTAAATAGCAATAATTAGCCAAATAGAATAATTTCACAATATGGGGGTAAATATGGCATATACATTTAACTGAAAGTCAATATCTGTGGTAATGTTTAAGTCACAAAATTTGATGGATTGGCTTTTCTAGGTCTTATTGCCTCTCTTCAAAATGGTCAAGCTTGAATAAGCAGCAATGTGATCTGAAGTCAACCATACGAAAGTGCATGCACAAATAGACAAATTTGCTGTGGCAAAAAAAAAATCAAGTACAAAATGACTGCAGGGGTCAACTTTGCTCAAGCAATGAAGCTTTCCGAGATCCCTTCCAGGTTGTTACAGAGATCATCTGAAAAAAAGATCAGTGTTATGTTTTGTGTCTTTCTCTGCGAGATTCAGAATTATAAAACATTATTCAGAAACATTAGCAGCTCTCCCCCACAAAACAAGAACAAGCAGAGCACAAGGGGTTTTAGTTCAGATGTGGCAAGGAACCGTAGAATGAAAAAAGTACTATATTATCTCAAGTTTTCTAAATTGTCTTGTTCCTAATGAGATCGTTAATGCCCCAGCCCAGATTCTCCAGCCATCATGCCTCTGCATGTCTCTGTGATCCCAGCCTGGGTTACTCACTCAGGGTGTAACCCACAGGTGAGCTGCGGGGCGTCTTTTAGGCGTTTGCCAAGTTTGGCAGTCCCTATTACAAGTTCCCCACTGCTGCTGTTTCCCCTTTACTGGCACCGCCTGAAGAGCGGCCTCACGGTACAGCGGCAAGTCTGTGCTATAATTACCAGTGAGACTTTCATGCTCTTCCTCCGTTTTTCACAACATGATAATTGATTTAGGCCTCTGCTTCCCCTGAGCTGTACTTCCTTATACATATGCCTACTGGGAGATGTAGCCCTGAATCTTTTTTTTTTTTTTTGGGGGGGGGAGGGGAAGGATTTAATCTCTGTTTTTGCCTCGACTGTGATGTGAAGAATCACTAATTTTAGTTTTTTTTTTTTTTTTTTTTTTTTTACTTCATCGGAAAGATAGTGGAGAATGATGGTAAATTATTATGGGGAGAGAAGGGAGAATTGAATCAGCAAACATTGCAGGCCAGATTCAAATCTGCATTTCTTTCATGAGCACCGTGATTGAAAATGTCACATGCTAGCCACCACACTATGGTGCTGCTGACTTAGAATCAGTATTAAATATTATTATGAAAATTATTCATGAGAAAGAGGGGAAATGGCATCAGGACCTGTTGCAGGCCAGAATCAAACCTGCATTTCCTACATTAGCACCAAGTCTGAACATATCAGATGCATGTATTTAGCATGTTTGACGTGCATGTGATATTATGGACATATCTTAGCCACTGCACTTCAGAACTGAAAATAATGGAGATTAATAGAATAGAGAGAAGGAATGGGATTTGGAAATTTTGCAGATCAAATTCAAACTGGCATTACCCACATAAGCACCACATTTTAACGTTTTAGATTCATGTTTAGTAGCCTCTGTACCAGTGGCGTAGGCAGAAATTGGATTTTGGGTGGGCCAGTGAAAATGTGAGTGGGCAAATAGTTTTTCATAGAAAAAAAATAGTTCAATAATACTTAACCTTAGAGAGTAGAAAATTAATAGACAAACTGCAAAAACAGTTAACGTTACACCTTTATATTCAGCAAAACATCATGGTCAACCAACAGAGCTCAATTAAGGCTGGACAAACCAATAGACAATAACCTGTCTGTTTTATTATTTTTATCATGCAAAGACAGTTCACCCAAAAATAAAGTAAGCTAAAACAATAAAATCGCAGTTAGATGGGCGCTGGTAAACCCGCGTCAGGCTGACCGGGTGGGAGGGAGCAAGAAGCTGCCGCCGCCAGCACCTGACTAGCCTTCTTTTGGGTTAATGAGTCTGAAGAACTGGGCTGTGTGGACTCGGTTGATGAAGGCAGTGGCATGTCTTCTTCCTCAACTCTTCCTTTTTTCAAATAGCACATAAAAGAAAGTTGTTTAGCCATTATTGTGGCGCCTACGCTGCTGAGAGTTTTCCTATCGGAACCCCCAGCAACCATAGTAACCAATAACGTTCCGGAGGGAGGCTTTATACAACTTGCTTCGAAAGTTCCATTTTATTTGGGAAACGAATTAAACACACACCGCAGTCAACAATAAATCAGATATATATTAATACATTTACTTAAATATATTTGAATAATAAAAATAAACTAAAAATGTATTTTTATCAAACTTGCCTGGGCGGGCCAGTGAGTAATGTGGGCTGGCCAGTGCCGCCATGGCCCAATACTGGCTACGCCCCTGCTCTGTACCATGGAAAGTACCAAAAAGTATTGATGTTATGATTTAAATCTGGCAGTAGAGTTCAGATTTTCAAAGTTTGGGGAGCGTTGTGAATTTATACAAATATAGTAAATCTGGCAATTGATGTTTGTTGTTCTAAAACATTTCTTGTTTATATCAGGTCACTGCCAACATCCCCACGCTGTTGCCTCCTGCAGCCCCAGAGCCCCCTCCGGCCCCCACCCCTCCCCCCATGTTGGAAATTGGGCCTGTGGCATATGAGGAACCTGCAGAGGAAGAAGAGGAAAATGAGGAAGAGGCAGAAGAGTCTTGCGTTAGTGCCATGGAGCTGATAGGTGGAAATGGTCAGTATGTCACAGCGGATTTTAGCCTTGTCACTGACAAGGATAATGAAGTCACGGCTCGAGGGTTTAGTGATCAAGGGTTTCCCAGATTAGTTCCAAGGTCTGGCTCTTCATCTTGACAAATTGTGTAATGCTAAGTGGGCTGTAACTCTCTAGCATTCGTGGCAGACTGCATTTGAAGTGTTTATCATCTTGATAAACTACTCCGATCCCGTCTCCTCTGCAAGTCATACATCTACAAATACTTGCTTATCGCAGAAGTGTCCTGGTAGCAGTCTACCATCTAATCTAATCTTTACCGTTCTGACTTTTTCACCATTTATCCCCAAACCACATGAATTCATTCATACCTTTGTCTTTACAGATTACGGGTGTGAAGCTGAAGAAGAGGAAGTCTTTTAGACTGAACTTGTCTGCCCACCAAACTTGTCCTTCCATTACCTTGTACAGTGAAGAGAAGAGCATTTAAAGCACATTTGAGACGCCTATAATATGCTGAGCATTTACGAAAGGTCACTCTCGCTCAGTGCAGTACATATGACTGGTTAAACTGCAGCATCTGTGTGATGAGTGAGACACTACGGAAGAAGGTGGCTGGCACCATTTTAGCACTGAAGTAGTTTGCTGAGGATCTCAGAGAAGATGTTTCACAGGTGCAGTAGGATTTAAACATGTGAAGATACTGATGTCTGCTCAGCTAATAATGTTGGATGCATTGTGGGACAATGTACTAGCGATTTGTTTTACACTTATTGTACCACATTTATTGTACATATATAGTAAGAAGCTGTAAATATATGGCACTGTGTTTAACTTTTTATTTTTAACCTATTTAATGCTACATGTGTCTGTATATATGTATATGTGACAGCTTTTTGTCAAATGCACTGTTTTATTTCCTAATTCCATGAAAAGTAAATGTTCTTCTGTGTTGGGTTGTGATAAATATTAATGTGTAATATACTGCAGTGTATTGTACAGAAAGGATGTTACCCTCGTTTTTATCCGTTTTCATTGAATACTGTTGTGAGATGTAGATTTCAGAGTACAGATCTGTGATTGAAAAATTAGTGACTAGAACAATATAAGGTATGTGAATAAATTCACATTTATTCAGGATGTTTTATGTTTTTTGCATTATTTTGAATGTTTATGAAGTTTTAAAGCCCCCGTCCTCATTCATTGCAACTGACTGGAAAAGAACGACCACCGCATTCTTCAAAAATGCTCCTTTTGTGTTTCATTGAAGAAAGAAGGAAAATAATACGGGATTGGAACAACATGAGGGTGAGTAAATTATGACTTTCATGTAAACTAATGCTTTAAATTGTGAATTCAGGGTTAATTTCTTGTTTATTTTTCATGTCAAGCAATTATTGCACAGCCTCTTACAGCGAAGATTCCCAAGCGCCAGACCCCTTTGTTTACAGTTCTCTAATGTGGGTTATTGGTCACATGACATGCAGGTAAACAAATTAATCTCTTTTGTTTGGTGTTTTATTTACATCTTTTATTTTGACAGTTTTTATTATTTTTATTGACTTTTTATCAACACACACACTAGTTTGGGCAACCAAGTCAATCTTACAGAATAACAGCCTAAACTCTCCTTCCCAAAAGCTGTAATACAATCACAAAAGTCTCAAATCAGATTTGTTCAGGAGTCATGGTCAAGGTGGTTTAGAACTGCAATTCATCCGTGTTTCCTGAGTTTCATTATAAGAATAGAGCAGTCTTTGTGCGACTATGATCTGAGCATTCAAGAACCACAAAAGCTGGAACACACAAATCCCATTTTCATTTGCGAGCACTGAAATGCTAATGATATAGATTTTACGAGTCTGAGGTCAGACGAATGCGTTGGGCTTTGCCTGTGGCTCATATACCCTGACAGAGCTCATCAACAGATAGCTCATTAAAACGAAAGCCTCCAAAGAGAACCATTTACCCGCCAAATAACCTGAGCCTGTCTGCGTAAATGGCCGAATTCATACAGGGCAGAGCAGTATATGTGGCTACCTGGAGGTTTAAGATTCCAGCATAGTCTACAGTATGTGTTTGCTTTTGAGAGTATGAAGAAACTGCAGCCCATTTAACCCGCTCTAGTGGTCAGACTGAAGGGTAACAAGACACTATAATAGTCTGCTTCTGCACTGCTGCCTGTCACTCTCATCTGATTTGATTTGTCCACAGATGCAGGCTCATAGTGCCCTTATACTTCAACTGTATCAGGTTCAGTTCTTTCAAAGCATTGTGTTCAAATTGCTTCCCACTCTGTCTGGCTGTAGACCTACTCTGGTTTCAGTTGATCTGGTTAATCACACAGTCTTCTCAGAGCAAGGTCAACACTGTGATTTTAACATCCTATAGATTACCGCAAGCAACCGCTGGACTGGATTTCATAATTAACAGCCCAGATTGAAGTGAGTTATGTTACCTTGCAGCTTATTAAAGAGAGTTATGCTCATGACCTTTTTTTGCTTACTTTTCTAGACAACGTGTGCTTGATGGATGATAAAGCAATGAAAGGAGGAACCACCCAATTACTCTAATATGGTAAAATTACAAATAAGTTTGATTTGTCTCTCAGTTCGTAAAAATCAACATAAACTGTCCTCATTCATTGTAATTGACTGAAAAAGAACGATCACCACTTCTTTTGTGTTCCACTGAAGAAAGAAGGAAAGTCATACGGGATTGGAGCGAAATGAGGGTGAGTACATTATAGAAGCTAAAACTACTACTAAAGGTTAAATTTCTTGTTTAATTTAACGACGGTTACATTTCTTAAAGGAATAGTTCACTTTAAAAAAAAAAATTGCTGATAATTTACTCACCCCCATGTCATCCAAGATATCCTTGTCATTCTTTCTTCAGTCGAATTCAGAAATTAAGGTTTTTGATGAAAACATTCCAGGATTTTTTCTCCATATAATGGACTTCAATGGGAACCAAACGGTTCAAGGTCCAAAAGACACTTTCAGTGCAAACTGCAAACTGTTCACAGGGCTTTAAATGATTTCAGACGATGATTAAGGGTCTTATGAAGCAAAACGATCGCTCATTTAAAAAAATAAATAAAGTTTAAGTTTTATAAGCACAAACGCTCGCCTTGCTCTGTTCTGTGATGTGCGTTCGTGTTCGAACTCGTTCATCAAAATGAACGAATCTTTTACCGTGTCAACTCTTTCATTTCGTTCGTTGAATTTGAACAAAGATTTGTTCATTTTGATAAACGAGTTTGAACAGGAAAGTCACGAACGTGCATCACAGAACAGAGCAAGCCGACCATTTGTGCTTATAAAACTTAAACTTTGTTATTTTTTTTTAAATGAGCCATCGTTTCACTTTATAAGACCGTTATTCATCATCTGAAATCATTTAAAGCCCTTTGAACAGTTTGCACTGAAACCTTGAACTGTTTGGTTCCCATTGAAGTCCATTATATGGAGAAAAATCCTGGAATGTTTTCATCAAAAACCTTAATTTCTTTTCAACTGAAGAAAGAATGGCATGAATATCTTGGATGACATGGGGTGAGTAAATTATCAGCAAAAGTTTTTTTTAAAAGTGTACTACTCCTTTAAGTTTGATTTGTCTCTCAGTTCATAAAAATTAACACTGAATTCAATTCCTCTACCTAAAAATATAGTCCTAGCTCAAAAATTAAAATTCTGTCATCATTTACTCTTTAGTTGTTACAAATCTGTATACAAACCTTTGTTCAGCTGAACACACAGGAAGATATTTTGAAGAATGTTGGTAACCAAACAGATATCAGGCTCCATTGACTACCATAGAGCAAAATAAAACAGATTTTATTTTTTGGAGTCTTCATCTCATTTGAGTGTAATAATTATTGCAAAGTGCTATTCAAACTTTTTAACAAGGAATACATTACTGAATGCCACTTTAAATGGATAGCCCACCCAAAATATGACTACTCTGTGAAAAAAGATGACATAATGTAATGTAATGTTTGGGATCAATGGGAACCAAAACTGTTTGGTTACCAACATATCTTCTTTTTCACAGAAGAAAAAGAGTTTGGAATAACATGGGGTGAGTAAATATGATTTGAAAATTTGACTTTTCTTTAATACACATGTTTGAACAAAAATGAATTGGAATTACTCTGTCGTAATCAACGTCAAGCCACAGATGCTGTTCGTAGACATTAAGTGGAAAATAATGGATGATAATGTCTTATGACACTCATTAAGATACAATGATGGTTGTTATGAATAAGTGATTAATACGGTCCCTTTAGGTTTCAGAGCAAATGCAAGAATGCATGCTGTTTGCACCCTTCCTAGTCTCAGGCTGTTTCGAGTTGCTCTTGGCCTTGGGCTATGGCAAAGCCTGTGGATTGTGCATAATCATTTTCTTGTGTACCACAGGCCAGCTGTGTTCTGGAGGTTCAGGCTAGATGTGATTTATACAATGTGACTGTTCTCCTGTATGCTGTGTGCTGGCAGATAGCTCATCTGTCTCTACTGACCGTGGTCACTGGACTCAGGTGAGAGCAAACATGACCTCATTGATCTTGTTCACCAGGCCGAACCAAGCATACACTTCAAAACGGGGCAAAAAACAAATAACTGTATATGTAAATGCGTACTAAACGTGTTGTTGACCATTGTGCATCTTGAGCTGTTTTAAAAAAAAATGCTATTTGTGCCAATTTTTTAAAAAATTTTTTACTTTTATTGTAAGAGCAAGCTGAATTTTGTATAGATGTAAGGAATTTAAATATTGAAATGTTATGCATATGTTATTTTATTTTATTTGCACTGACGCGTTCATTCATCCAGGCCAGCACTCTTAAAGGGATACTACGCTTTTTTTGGAGATAACTCCCCCGAGTGAAGGCGCTGTGTCATATCATTACGCCTGCTGCACTCATGGTACCGCACTAAAGTTTCTTGATTATTACGCAGGAATGAGAGTATAGTTCCTAGCCATATCAGCCTAGAAAATCGCAACTTTACATTTTCCATCAGTCTTATTACAGAAGAGTCTGAAGAGTGCAGATTTTTTTTTTTTTTTTGAGAAATGCTAATGGTAATGTCCACTTCAATGATGTACGCTAAGCTATGCTAAAAGTGGTACCGCCAGAACCGGAGATCGGATGAATGGATTCAAAAACGGTAAAACGCAACAGTTTAACTCTTGGGGAGTTGTAAAATGAGCCTAAAACCAAAAAAAGTGGAGTATCCCTTTAAAGTTTATAAGTATATACATTGAGTGAAGCCTGCTCCTATCCTCACTTATGTATTGAAATGTTGCCATGATCATGGGATAGGGAAAGGAAAAAATACATCTTGCACATTAATGGATAGTAAATTCCACATAAATTAAAATGGTTGTAACATTTTTTATTTTTTTTTTCAATTCATAAATTATGAAAATTGCAGCATTTGATATAAGTGTCAAAACTTCTAAACTTGCAATAGGTATTACAATACTTAGGGAATCATTGATGACAGGCTGTTGAATTACTGAAAAATAAGAGTCTGCTTTTTATATCAGTAAGTTATTGTTTATTTAACTTGAATTTGTTTGATATTGTCATTTAAAGTCAAATGTTCAACTGTTGACTCTGTGTAGCTAATCCATGTCAGTTTCAAAACAGTGGACCAATCAGAAGAAGGGGTGGGGCAACTGTTACAAGCACGTGTAAACAGTGGCTGCTGTTCATCCGTTGAAAATGTTCAAATGCAAGAACACATTCTGTGTGAATTTTTGTCATGTTTTCCATTTATAATAGCAAAACTGTGCAAGATATTATATCCTCCTAATATTTGTTGTCCATTTGTCCTCTGTCCTACTCTGCATTACTCCTTGCGTCTTATTGCAGACTGAACCACAGATATATGCGACCTATCTCTATCTTTTCCTGCAGTGCAGCAATTATGTAACCGTTCAGAGGTTGTCCCACGCAGGCACACAGAGATGCTGTCACGTCTCCAAGTGATCACTGTCTAGTAACAGTACACTATGTAGAGAACATCCTCTGCACTTTCATTCCCTGCAGAGTTGTCTTGTGCTGTTGCCTGCTAAATTTACCGTGCTTGCCGTGATAGGGCAGCTCGCCATATTTACTGAAGTGAGTCTCC